GGGAGGGAGGGAGGGAGGGAGGGAGGGAGAAAGAAAGGGGAGTGAAGACAGGAGGGAGGGAGAGAAGGAGGGAGGAATGGTGGGTAGGTTTGGTGGTATACACCTTTAACCCCTAGCACCTGGGGACAGAGATAACTGGATCTGAGTTGCAGACTAACTAGTCTGGTCTACATAGCAGTTTTACGCAAACCAGTTATGCAGTGAGACCCCGTCTCAAAAAAAAAAAAAAAATTTGGAGGAAGAGGAGGGGGGTGTGGGATGAAGCTTAGTTGGTAGAGTGCTTGCCTATCAGGCATGATCCCATGAGTTTTTACTCCATCACCATATAAAACAGATGGTATCACATGGGTTGAGGCAGGAGGATCAGCACTTCAAGGTCATCCTCTACTGTGTATAGAGTTGGAGGTCGGCGTTAGCTAAGCCTCAAAAAGAAAAAAGCAAATAAAATTAAATAACAGAATGAGACAGCCCCTCATACACAAAAACTTTTTAGCCCAAAGTGCCTGAAGCAAAGTTGGGAAAATTGCATAACACAGCATCAACTCTACCCCAAGCAAACCTCCTTCTGGGACCTACACAGCCAATAAAAATGGTGCCGTGCCCCATCCTCACGCTTTGAAATGGCAGGGACGGACTACACAACGCCAGAAAACAGAACAAACTTGCTGACTTCAAAACTCCAGGATAGAGGGCCAGAGAGATGGCTCAGAGGCCTAAGAGCACTGACTGCTCTTCTAGAAACCCAGGTTCAATTTCCTGCACCCACAGCTCGCAAATGTCTGCAAGTCCTGCATCCAATATCCCCACAAACTTCATGCAAACCAAATACCAACGCATGTAAAAATAAGAATAAGTAAGAAGAAAACTCCAGGGTAAAGGGATCCTCTTACCAAGAGTTGGTCTTTCAAATCATAAGTAGCTGGGTGCTTGGGGGGTTGTGTTTCATCTTGGGTATCAGCTCTTACTCTAGATACCGCCTTTTTTTTTTTTTTTTTAATTTTGTGGTCTGTGTTGCTCTGATTCTTCCTGGAAACCAACTGAATGATGCAAAGTCCTCTAGATGCAAGAAAAGCTCAGCTCTGAAAATCATGTTAACTGTTGATTCCAGCCCTTGGGATGTAAGGTGATCCCCTCCTCTGCCCATGACTGAATGGCTAGCCTGGGCTACATGAGACCCTTGCTTCTGTGGGGGATGGAGGTAATCTTTCTACTTCCAAGATAGTCCAAGTCCACCCTTCCTCCTACAAGGGACCTAAGTAAACTGAGCCTACTACAGAACTGGAGTTAAATGTCAATTCTGTGTGTAGTCAGAGAGCCTGGCCAATGGCTAACAAAGGGGGACATATTTCATGTCTAAAGTTAACTAATCATTCCCACCCCCTAAGACACAACCTTCTGTTTCTCCATAGACAGGACACAAGGCCTTGGTGCAGGAAACAGGAACCACACCTCTGTCTTCTCCCCCAACCAGCAGCCTCAGGTGATGGAATTGCTCACGGAGAGCCACCCTTCCTCTAAGGCTCCACACACCCCAACACCCCTCACTCTGTTCTCCCGCCAGTGCCCCTCCTCGATCCACACACTCTAAGCACTCCATCCCAAATCAGAAACTGTGGTGACCAACTGGGATATAGCCAGGATTCTCCCTGCCTGAGGAAGGATTCCAACTGAAACCCACCAGCTCTACTGAACCAATGTCACAAAAGCTCAAGTGGAGTGATGTAGGCACACAGAACCAGGGCGGGAAGATGGAGGAGCATGAAGGAGGAGGCACGCAGATGGGAAAGGTACACAGAGACTTTGTGTCCAGGGCCATGAAGAGCACAGACATGTGAATGGGCCTGAGAAGAGGGCTGCTGGCTTACATCTTTGGGAAACGGAAAGTTGCACGAAAAACGAAACTGGAATGAGGGGTAGCATGGCTCCTGAAATACAAGACTAGAATTTGGGAAACTCTCCAGTGTCTGGAAGGATCCCACAGACCAAGTGACAGGGTTCTAACTGTCAGAAAGATGACAAAAACGAATCCAAGGCTCCTAGGGAAGATCCAGTGGCACAGAGCCTGCTCAACCCAGGCTGGAAGCCATGCACCTGTCTACACCACTGCCTGGACGTGGTCCCAGCACCCAGTGGGCACTGCGGTCTAATGTCCCCCAGAGGCAGGCAAGTGTGCTCAAGAACAATTTGTTCTTACCAAAAAAATCTCCGACAACTTAATCTTGACCCTAGTTCCCTGCCAATATAATAAAGGGATGCTCAAAGTAATCACGCTTATCTCTGGAAGTTATCTGAATATGCATGAGCTAACCTAGGTCAGGAACTTGGAGCAGGAGCTCCCGTTCACAGTGGACGCTCTGCATTGAATTCCACAACTCAGTCAGCAACAGTGAACGGGAGCTTTGCACGGGTCCACTAGGACAGAAGTGGGGGGGCTAATTGTGGCCAGTTACTCCAACTAACTTCCAAGCCCTGAGACTAGAATAAAATAATCTCAGGGAGGCTCAAGAAAAGTCGAAATCAAGCCAGGCATGGTGACTCACAGCTTTAATCCAGAGGCAGATGCATCTGAGTTCAAAATTAACCTGGTGTACAGTTGAATGTCAGGCCTGCCAAGGACAGTAAGACCCTACCCCTACACTCACCCCCCCCCAAAAAAAAACAAAGTGCAAAGTCTGGAGTAGTGGGCAGGCCTTCTCCTCCCCTCTCCCCCCCACCACAAATAGGGTTTCTCTGTGTAGCCCTGGCTGTCCTGGACAAGCTTTGTAGACCAGGTTGGCCTCTAACTCAGAGACCCACCTGCCTCTGCCTCTGGAGTGCTTGGATTAAAAGTGTGCACCACCTCTGTGCAGGCCTTTAATCCCAGCTGTTTGGGAGGTGAGGAAGAGTCTAAGCAGATCTCTGTGAGTTCAAGGCCAGTCTGGTCTACATAGTGAGTTTCTGAACAAACTGCCAGGGCTCTGTAGAGACCCTGTCACAAACCAAAAAAACCACAGAAGTCTAAATCGAGGGTTCCTAAACCAGAGTTTCATCTTTCCTTATTCTTTCTCAACTCAGAGATGCTCCCAGTATACTGTGTCGCTTCTCAAAGTTCAGAGGGATCAAACAGCCTCACACACCCAAGCCAGGTCAGGGCGGCCAAACCGGGAGGCCAAATCCCCCGTGGGACAGATACCTGGTTTAAGTTACAGGCCCGACTCAACTCTGCCCCTACTGGTAAACTAAGAGGAAATACATCCAAGTGGGGAGGGGGTAAAGAAAAGCGTAAAGGAACAAACGTTCGCCTTGTGCCTGTCAGTCATCATAAAGCTGGAGAGGCAGTCACCTGCATCTTATAGGAAGAAAAAGGCCTCCAGAGCTCAGGGTCCCGTCATGAATAAACCATAGGCAGGAGTTCGCACTCACTTCCAGATACCCTGGTTAATTTTCTCTCCACTCCCCGGGGCAGATGACTCCACTGTCGGTCCTTAAGTGTGTCCTTTGCACTCCCACAGTTCCACCAACGAAGAGAAACTTCGTAAAGAGAAACCCTATGTCCAAGAGAAAAACTCACTCTCCCTAGGATTAAGGAGCCTCCCTCTACTTTGTTCAGGAATTGCCAAGAGATAGTCAAATCCTCACTTGGAGAAGCTCAGCGGAGTCAGCAAAATCATGCCAGCTCAAAGGCAAGTTTCTAAACAAACCAAATTAAAGTGCAGGACAACATCCCGAGGTATTAAAGATCCAACAGAGAAGCTAAACACTTACCAGGTGCCTCTCCAGTCTAAGGTTCTATGCCAGGGCCCTGGAAACATTAAAAGCAATCTATCATCCTCTCCCACGCGCTCAGGACCATGAGAACTGGGGGGCGGGGGACCGTCCTAGGAAGCGGTCAAGGCACTTTCCCCTAAAATCTGTTCCCAAGAGACATGGTAATTTCAAATGTGTGACTGAGCAACGGCTTACAGCTAGCTCTAACACAACCCTCCGGACAGGATATTCCGCCCCCCACCCCACCCCACTAGACCATTCCCTCCCTCAAATTCTGGACTAGGGCCCAGGACAGGAACCAATCTCGTAATCCTGGGCATTTTAGAAACTCAATTCTCCTGGGAGTCTGAGCGCTCCGAGCCTGGCTCCGGGCCACCCCCACCTCCCTACCCCGAGGCGGAGAGTGTGAGGCTCCGGTCGAGCCTGAAGCTCTTTCTTATGTAAATGACCCGCCGAGCGACCGAGAGCTCGGGTTTGCGGGGACTGCAGACCAGGGAGGTGGGTGCAGGAGGGTCTGAGCGATTAAAGGCTCGTTTTCTGGTGCCAAGAAAACAAAAGAGCCCTGGGAATCGCGGGTGGAAGGTGAGTCCGGCCCGCGAAACTTTTCGCGGAGGAAGGCCAGAACGCACTATCCCGAATCTGCCCCAACTCAGAGGCCCGACGCAAGGACGGGAGGCGGGGCGGCCTCCAGGAGGATGTGCGGAGAGGGGCGCCCCTCCGGGCCTCAGTTCCGGGCAGTGCAGTTCCGGGGAGGGGGCGCGCAGCCCAGCCTTCCCGCGCGCCTTCCCGCTCCTTCCTGGGGGGCGTTCCCCACCCACCTCCTGGGGCGCCACGAGGAACCCGGGGCCTCCCCGGCGCGTTCCCGAGAGCGGAGGGCCGGGCCCCGCCGCCGCCCGCCGCCACCGCGCCTCCTCCCCACGTGCTCTGCCGGAACTCGGGCTGCCGGAGGGGCTCCTCCCACGTGGGCGCAGCGGCCCGGGACTACGTGCCGGGCGGCCCGCCCCTCGAGACAGCCAGGGGGCTGAATGGGAGGGCGCGCGCAGGTCCGGGCGGTGGGGTTGTGGCGGCGCCCGCGCCACGAGGGTGCCCAGCGGACGTGGCTCCCGCGCTCAGCACCTTCCCAGCTCCCCAGGCTGGTTCCGCGTCCCCAGCCCCGTAGGAGGAGGAAGCGGGTCCCCGGCGTGCGCCGGGCTGCCGGAGAGCACGCGACTCGGCCCGGAGCGAGCCCGCCGCCCCCGCCCGGGCCGACCTACCTTCTGCACTTGGTTTTGGTTGAGCTCCGTGAATAAGCAGGCGATCATGTGTGAGGCGATCATCCTGCTGCGGCGAGTCGGGGCCAAGTAGCAAAACCGAGGTTCGAGAACTACCGGGGGAGCGGGCAGAGCCGGACGGCCGCTTTGAACCCAGGCCCGGGTGTCCGGCTGAGATCAAGAACTCCAGGAGCCACACAAAGAAGGTTAACCACGATGGCTCGCCGGCTGGGGCCTCGAGCCTCCTGAGCAGGGTTCTTCTTTTCCTTTGTGGTCTGCTTTTCAAGCCACGACTGCTGGAAGACGCCTAGGTCTCACTGCGGCCACCGCTCCGGTTGCTCGGCGTGCCGTCGCTAACTTCAGCCACAGGGTCACTGAGGCTCAACTTCGGAAGAGTGGCAGTGCAGCCCCACTCGAGCGATCGCGCCTTTCAGAGGCACCGGCGTGCTGCTGCTGCCCTCGGGTCTCCTTGGCCGCGCACGCTCGCGTAGCCCGAGCTGTCCTGGGACTCCGGCACTGGAGTTTGGTGCAACAATGTGGCTTATTGAGGGGCTGCCGGCTCTTTGGGCCGCCCCGACAGTGACGTGCACGCGCTCATTGGCTCAGGGGAGAGGGTGTGTGCGCCCTCCGCCTGCCCGCCCGCGGCCCACAGCCAATCACCGTCCAGAGCCCGCGGGCGCGGCCGCTTCGACACCCAAGCAGGCGGCGGGAGAGGCGCGCCCGCGGCTAGGGGCGGAGCCAGGCTCCGGAGATGGGACGTGTGTTCCGTGGCAAGAGCCTGGGACTCCAGGGCGCATGAGCCGCCGCCGCGTCAGGCTCAGCTTCGGGTGGGGGGCGCGTGATCACGGCCCCAAAAGATGTTGGGCGACTGGAAAGACAGGTGACAGCGGCAGCACACGCCCTGGGCGGACAAGGACCTAGTCTGGTCTCCGGGAATCATGTGAGGGGCTGCCACCACTCTGTCACAAGTCTGAACCATCTTAATTGCGGCCCAAGGAGTCAGCGGATCCCTGCACTCCTGAAGCGACTGTCAAACCGAGAGCATATGGATTTTACTAACCCCCTTTTGCAGATTAGGGAACCCGGCGCTGTGCTGTTAATGAGATTTGCCCAAGGTGACGTCGCTAACAAGAGCACGCCTCACTTTGAAATGGAAATCTCTTCCCCATTATATTATCCAGCCTTTCTGGAAGCCAGGAAAGTAAAAGGCTGAGAAACTTTGTCGGTAGCTGAAACTGACAAGTGGGCGGGGAAAGCGAGTGTGTAAGGGCTGGATCCTAGCCTCAAGTTGTGTGGAATGGTTCACAGATGGTTTACAGAAGAGCACAAGCCTCAGTCTCAGCTCGTGCGTGACCCCAGACTCCAAGTTTACATATGTGAGCAGAAGCCAGCAATATTGAAATAGTGCCTCAGACGACGTGAGGTTGGTGCTAGTGGAGAATGGCAAGCCTGGAGCTGGAAAGTTTCTTGGAGGGAAGGAGAAGCCTACCAATTCCAGAAGGATAGGAATCTGAATTCCTACCAATTCAGATAAGGGTAACTTGACCACTCCCTCCCCGCTACGGCGGTGCAGGCCTTTAATCCCCGAACTTGGGAGGCAGAGGGACCTCTGAGTTCTAGGACAGCCAGAGCTATACAGAGGAACCCTGTCTCGAAAAACAAAAGCACTGCACCAACTGAGGAGGTACACCCAGCCCTTTCTCCTCTGCTGAGCTGTCTTCTGCTACACTCTTTGATGTGGTTCATTTCCTCTGCGTGATTCCTCCAGCACCTTTCCTGGCAGTTACACCATCAATAATACACAGGTAACTCACAAGCCTAATCCACAAGCACTGTCCTCCCAGTCCACACAAGCGTCGGTGTCTGCGGTGGTCCCGTATGTCTGCAGCACCTAGAGTGGAGGCTCTCTAGCACACCCCCAGTCCGCATGAGCGTCGGTGTCTGCGGTGATCCCTATGTCTGCAGTGCCTAGAGTGGAGGCTCTCTAGCACACATGCACCATAGGTGTTTATTGTATACGTTAGTAGATGATTTCCTGTGATGGCTATTATGTCACATAGAAGACACAAAAGAGAGACTCATTTTCTATATTAGCTGTCAAATCCTTTCCACTGGTCTGCCATTCACAGCTCACCAGGATCTTTTACCTAATTGCAACAACCTCATATCCCAGCTTCTCTCTAGACAAAGATAAACCGGAGGCATCTGGCCGACTCAGATGCTGAAGACAGAAGTATCCATCAGATGTGCTTTTGTAGGACAATAGCTGCCTTCCATGTGAATGGGAGGAAAGGATCAGGCCAGAGCAGAAGAGACAGGAACTCCCAGATAAGATAGAGGCCTGGCGAGACAAGGGTGAGGCAGGCAGTCGGACGGATTAAGGCTTTAGGTGTTCAGAAGTCTGAGGCAGTGATGGCATAGGTTAAAGATAGGTGGAGGGAGGGGTTGGGAGGGGCTGACAGAGGAGGCTACAGCTGGGATACAAAGTGAATAAATTGTAATAAATTAAAAAAATAAATATTTAAAAGAAAAAGTCATATAAAAAAAGATAGGCAGCAAAGACAAAAAAAAAAAAATTGCTTCCTAGAGACACTTGGGGCCTGGCAAGATGGCTCAGTGAGTAAAAGCGCCCGTTGCCAAACCTTGTCCGCCTGAGCTTATCCCCAGGATCCATCTGGTAAAAAGAATTAACGCAGGAAAACTGCCCTCTGACCTTTACACACACGCCATGGTATGTATCCATACAAAATAAATAAATAAACTTAATTAAAAAAATTTAGCGACACTTAAAAGCCAATAGTTAGAGCTTAGCATATAAAGTTCCTTTTTCCCAAACAACTAAGATCAAAATCAGCAATCAGCCGGGTCAGGTCAACTATGATCACCTTTCTATGGACTAATTATATTTATTTATGTTGAGACCAGGGTCTTATGGAGCCCGTGATGACCTCTAAGTATGCAGCCAGGGCTGATCTTGAACTTTCCATCCTCCTGCCTCCACCTTCCCAGTGCTGAGGTTACAGGCATTGACTACCTCCTCTAGTGTATACAGTTATGAAAATCAGAGTCAAACCCAAGGACTCGTTCACTCTGGGCAAGAATTCTATCAACTCTCTCTCTCTCTCTCTCTCTCTCTCTCTCTCTCACACACACACACACACACACACAAACACACACACACACTTTAGCTATCTCTCCATTCCCTTTTCTGGTCCTATTTTATGAGGATTAAGTCATGGTCACAAGGTACTTTATGTGTTCTCTTACAAAGTTCCCAATATTCCTGGAGGCCCTGGAAGAAGTACTGTGAAATTGCCTAACTCCCTAACTCGTGTATATGACAAATCAAGGGACAGCTGCCCATACAAGATTGGGGGTTGTCGCTCTGACCTTTCTGACCTCAAGATTCTTACCTAGAGTACTATCTCTCCCTCTCTCACTATGAGCACACACAGGCACAGACGTTGAAGACAGGCAGAGCAGCCATACACTTTACACTCTACATTCCAAGAGATAAATCAATCAGCAAATGTTTATTAAGCCCTTTACAGGGTTCAGGACAGCCACACTCGCACAGAAACACAAAAGGAAGCAGGTGGCTTCTGCCCCAAAGGACTATGTTGCTGTGATTTCTTTTTTATCTATTTTATTGGGTTTTCTCACACCTCTGCCTTCCTTTACCTCATTCCCTTCCAGCACCTCAACACCAGGTAGGAGAAAAAGAAGGTTAGTGGGGACAGGAGCGTAGTTCTCTTGACTACTTCCTGCTGGTTAGGGCTGTCAGGTTCCTTGGGGAAGTCTAGTCTTCATTATCAGGATATCTCCAACTTCTTCTCCTCACACTGCAACAACAGCAGCCAGAGCATCAGGGGAAGCAACTGCCCTCTTCTTCCTCCGAGCCACTGGCCCTCGCTGGGCTCCGGTTTGTATAGTTCCTCAGAGTTCTCAGCATCAAACTATCTGCAGCTGGCGAAGCTTGCACCCCTCTCAGAGCCCACATGAGGCAAACAGTCTGCTGATGTGGACAGTCTGAATCCGTCTCATATCCCACACCTGGGATTGAAACAAAAACATGTTTACATAACATAACTGAGTTTTAAAGAAATCAAGACTCCCACTGCAGACTACTGTTTAGCTTAAGACATAAAATGAACACATAGAACAAATATTACAGACTAGAACAAAACAAACAAACAGATCGATAAAAGCCAACTGTGTCTGTGTCTTTAGATGCAGTAGGACCTGAGTGTCAACCACAGGGGCCCGGTGGCTATGGATGTCTGTATTCTGATTGCACACCCAGCTGTCACTCCCAGTTCTGCCTGACCCTCCATGGGACCTGAGCCTACGTACACCTTGGGAAACTCTCCTCAGAAAATCCGATTTTGCTAAAAGACCTCAATCTGCAAAATGTTCCTATTTAAAAATTCAGATTTATGCCAGGCGCGGCAGCACATGCCTTTGGTCTCCATAGCAAGTTCCAGGTTAGCCAGAGCTACATGGTAAGACCTGTGTGCTGCCTAGTTTTATATCAATTAGAAACAAGCTGGAGTCTTCTGAGAGAAAGGACCCTCAGTTGAGAAAATGCCTCCATAATATCAGGCTGTAGGCAGGCCGGTAGTTAGGGGTTGATGTGGGAAGGTGCGAGCCCACTGTGAGTGGTGCTACCTGTTTGGGTTGTTTCCTTTTCTTTTTTTGTTTTTTTTAAGACAGAGTTTTTTTGTGTAGACGTGGCTGTCCAGGAACCCTCTCTGTAGACCAGGCTGGCCTAAAACTCACAGAGATCCACCTGCCTCTGCTTCCCAAGTCCTGGGATTCAAGATGTGTGATGCTACCACCGCCCAGCTCAGTTGTGGGTTCTATAAGAAAGCGGGCTGAGCAGGCCATGAGGAGCAAGTCAGTAAGCAGCACCCCCCCATGGCTTCTGCAGCATTTCCCGCCTCCAGGTTTCTAGCCATTCCGGGCCCCTGCCTTGGCTTCATTCCTAAGCTGTGAGCTGAAGTAAACCCTCCCTCCTCACGTTGCTTCTTTCGGTCTTGGTGTTTATCACAGTAACAGAAGGCAAACCAGACAAGGGTTTAGGGTGGGTTTCTTGAGGTGGGGAGGCCACCCTAACTGTGGTGGGCGCCTCCATGGGCGGCGGCTTTGGACTGAATAGAAAGGGGAAAGGCAGCTGGGCGCCAGCGTTCATCTCTCTATTCCTGCCTGGATGCAACGCGACCAGCTGCCTCCAGACCCTGCCACCATGATATGCACCCTCAAATTGTGAGTGGAAATGAGCCCCCGCCTTCCTTAACTTGCTTTTCTCAGGTGTTTTGTCACAGCCGCGGGAAGAGTGACTAAGACATGGAGGCAGAGCCGGGAGCAATGTGGGTGACTGGTGGAAAGTGAGACCCGAGTTCTGCGGAAGCCTGAAGGCCCCACGTCAGATGCACAGCAGAAAGAGGCAAGTGGTGAAACTTACTAAAATACAGAATACAAGCCTGACAAGGAGTTGCTAATTGAG